CTTATCATGTAACTTTCCACCACAAACAAATATAAGCATGTTTTATAGAATATTGAACTAATCCGTTAAGCCCCATACTAGTCTTTTGTCTAGTATGTCAGCATTCACTGTAAGTTGTTAGATCAATGTGAGAGAAACCAAAGGAAAGGGACAAAAGGAGCCCTGTGATAGGCTGGTGATCTGTCCAGGGTGCAGCTGGGATTGCTTCAGCCCCCTTGCCACCATTTTCAGGAAAAAGCAGTGTAGATAATGAATGGATGGACAAAAGGAAATAATTCAGAAAGGTAAGGACTCATCATTTTTGTTCATAGTGTAATTCAGCAGCTGAAAGATAAGATTTTTTTTACTGCAGTGAGGAGGCTGTCCTTGGTTTTGGTATGCCTTTTTTGTCTCTTCAGTTCTATTAAATTCTTTTTTACAGTCACATTAGGGCACTTTTAAGATTTGGCTTCTGAATTTGATTGTTACACCGTCTTAGATTTTAGTGTAACATGAATTTATGGAGCTGGGACTTACTGTAAGCCTTTGATCTGAGGCTTCGCTCTCAGAATGTCCAGCAGGATGTAAGCACCATATGGGCCAATGAGGTTGAGGTTGAGGTTGAGCAGCGTGACCTCAGACACACTGCTCTTAAGCGCTCCCGCCAAGCTCAGTAGGAGATCGTCAGTCAGCTCTGTGTTCCTCAGAACCAGCTGCCCCACCTCATGGGATGTACTCAGTACCATCATCATGGTGTCCAGCTACAATGTCACACCAAAAAGAAGTCATAGTAACATTTGAGCTGTGCTGTTATTTTTGGGTCAAGTTGAACTTGGTACAAGAGATCACTTTAATTCCAAAAGTTAAGACATATCCAAAAGGCTGTCTTTTCACAGAAAAAATAGGGGTATGCATTATAGGGTTTCATAATGCCAAGTGTTATAGAACTATGACAAAATCTGGTTGCAGTTTGAAACAATTACCGGTGACACCACTATTACATGTATTTATTTTATTTCTAAGACTTTTTTCTATTCCATCATTCTGGCATGAAATGGTCTCCTCCACCTGTACATATAGTGAATGTTAAGTATTTACTATGGGTGTGTGAGAGCAACACAGCTCAGGATTGTGTTTTTTGGCCAAGAATGAGATGAGAGTGGGACAAGTGCTGGAGGTTTTCTAAACACAGCGATGGAGTGAGACTCCAGAAAGACATATGGTCTGGCTGTCAGCCACATCCACTGTGCCACTTCACAAGACCTTGAGGAATTTTTCAGGCACCGCTGAAAGCTCATTCATCATAATGGGTGGGACCAAGCCAAACACCTGCCTGTCCCAGATAAAATTTTGCTGATGTTACAACCATTTGTGTATAGCACTGGCCTCCAGTTGTAATGACTCTTTAGAATAAAATGACTTTCAGTGAATTAATCTTTTTTTATCAGTTCTATAAATGTTATATGCCAATGACATAATGCCCCTTTGCTGCTGCTGTAGTAGATTCTTTTGTTGTGTTTGATATCTTTAACATTGTGGGATCATAAAACACAATGCCATTGAAATACATATTCATCCCTCTCAAACTGCATCATGTTACTGAAGTCCTAATGTGTGAACAAATAATGCATCATGATTTTTTTTTATGACATTGCTTCAGCTGTGTCACTGTGGTAAATGTGTATTACAAATTCCCTATTAAGGCTGAAGACAAAATAATGGAATAATCATAATGGTGCTAGGAAAATATGGTTTGAATATGGCATGCGACTGCTTAATATTAATGGAAAATGTATTACTTTAACAGACAAATTAGTTTTAGATTCATGCTTTATTAGATTATTTGGCAATTAAATGATCAGTTCTAACACACTGCTGCATGATGTGAACTTATTGCCAGTGACTTAATGCCAAACGCATGAATGACAAAAACAGCCTCAGTTTGTGTTGAACACACACCTGTGCCTGCAGGTCTTGTTCTTTAATAGGGTCTTCTTTGCCAGTGCTCTTACTGGCCCTGTCCTCCTCTTCCTCGGGCTGCAGGATGGTGTCACTCTCTGCGCTGAGCTCTACATCTGAGCTTGAAGCTTTGGGGCATGATGAAAGCTTCTTCTGGAGCCGGCACCTCTCCAGAACTTGGCATGCAGAGGAAAAAAAAGCATGTCAGACACAATAAAACTGTTTCCTAAAGCCAGGTGTATACAGTGATATTGATATTCACTGTTGATATGAGAATGTAAATAAAGCTATTAATAATTCATGTGCAATAGAGAGATCTGCTGTTGTGAGAGTTATGCATGCAGAAATGCATGTGTGTCTACATAACCTCTCCCACATGTCATCCATCTTCCTTCAAGTAGAAATTGTTCAAAGCATCAGTTTCTTGCAAATCCAGCTTTTTTCTGCTAAAGTGTATTATGTAAATCCGTTAGAGCACTCCAGGGGGATTCCAGTTCGATCCCACTGTGCTGTGGCTTGCTTTACTCACTGTTTGCCTTGAACCAGTTGTGTTTGTTTGGGCCCTGCTCCAGTGTGGTGCTCATTTCCACACATTCTTCATAGAAATCCCTCAGTCTTTCCCCATCTCTGTTTTTCCCATTTGATCCCAGGTCCTTCAGTTTCTTTCCATTCTGCTTAGTCAGTGCTTCTTCACCCTGCAATGAATCTTTAAAAAGAAAGACTCTTGTTCTTTCCCATTTTTTCCACAAAGAACATTAAATACAGATAGACTGAAGGTCATTCACATCTCCACTTGAAAGCGATTCTCCTCTGTTTTTCCATCTTCTCTTGCAAGAATGAAACCAGCTAAACGTTTCAAACAGTGCTCACCAAGTACTTTGCTGGTCTTTTTAGATTGTGGCTGCTCTGTCTGCAGTGCTGTGGCATCGCTGGTTGTTTTTAGCTGTTTAAGGTCTTGTCTTGAAGACAGTGCTTGGGTGTCACATTTATCGGTTACTCTTGACGTCTGTGAGATCTCCGAGGCCTTGCTGTCTTGTCCCTCTTCCCCTCCGTTACTTCTGGCTGTCTTGCCATTGCTCTCTTTCTGATTAGTTTGACCCTTCCGTCGTTTCTTCTTGGAGGTCTCTTTAATCCTGACTACAGTGTGGTCTTCGCTGTCTGTAGATTCTCCACCACCTTCCTTGATGACTTTTCTCATCCTCCTCACTGATTTCTTTTCTGGTTTGGCTGGGACGAACAAAGGGGATGATGGATGTGACTTGACAGGGCCTGCAATGGAGATGTTGCAGACAATTAGAAAGAAAAAAGATTGCGTTGTAGGATATTTTGTCCATCAAAATCAAGAACTGGACCTAACGTCAAAAAATGTTGATGAATAAACTTTAGGAAGCAATGGAAAGTTGAGACAAGCATCTCCAGGCTTTGTACCATTGCCAGGGCCCTGCTCAAGAGGGAGAATTAAGTTCTCCTTTGTGCCATTGTTCAGTTGCTGGCAGGAGCTGTATTTGTTTCGAAGACTTGTACATCTGAAAAAGATGAAAAATGTGCTTTCATCAAGAGTCACATTTCCTCCCCCATAACCAGTACCAACATCATTCCCATATGTCATGCCATGTACATTCTTTTTCTCACATGATAGATTATATTTGTAGAGCAATAGGTTTACCTGATCTGGTCTGACTGGTACGCATATGTAATATTCTGCAAGTGTTATATCTCCAGAGGATGAAATCTGACCTGTAACAGGGCACCCCACCAGACAGCCAGGCCAACCTGAAGTAGCTCTTCCTGCCCTGCTGGAAGCCGGGAGCATAGCGGTACTCACAGCAGGAGCTGATCCTAGCCACCATGATGCCGTTAACGTACAAGGTAGCGCTGAAGGGGTAACCTCTGTGTCTCTGGGAGACAAACTGGAACTGCTCTAAAAGATACAGGGAGAGAATATTATGTTAGATTCAGTGTGGCTATCTGTCATGTTTGACTTATTTTGCCATCAGCAGTGTTGATTTGAATTGTTTATTTAGTCGTGTCATCACCGGTCACTATGCTGTGATGTTAGATGCTACTTATGTCTTTAGTTTTTTATTCTGTTGCTGGTCCAAACTGTTAGTTCACTACAAAACTAGGCCTACACAGGCACTGATTATATGATTAGATACTTTTTGGTATAAAGTATTTAAAGTATGGCTAAATGGGCACATACTGAAAAAAACAAAACTAGTAGAACACTTAAATGCCATTAGACATAAATGACGCAATGTGCTTTTCTGGAATTTGTGTGAACTGGCCCACTACTGCTTTTATTTTCTAGGTGTAGAGTCAACTATAGTGCTGAAACTGATTACATTAAAGTCAGCAAAAAGTAAATATAAAGTTATTACAAATTTCATAAACTTTGCTAAATCTCATAAAGGTTGCTTGGAATATGATCCTTGAGCATTTCTTGTCCTTTGTTTTATTCCTTTAGATTACACATCTACAGAGGATTTGGTAAACAGATCAATCCTAAACATGTTTCTTGTACATCTGCCTGACTCTGATTCCCTCCCTGGAGTGACAGCTGTACAGTGCGTGTCAACATATAGTAGCTACAGTGGCATCCTGTAGTTGAGAGGTAACAAGGTGATACACTATGTACCGGGCAGCACACTGTGTGTGTGATGTCAGTGGATAAAGTCCGACTGTCAGTCTTCCCTGCTCTCTCTTTGTTTCCTGTCTGCCTCTCAGCAATTTACTGTTAATAAAGGCTAAAAGCCCAAAAATCTAACTTAAAAAAGCATGTAGCATCTGCAAAGATAAAGACTCATCTTCTCTATTGACCTTTTATGTGCTGGTTACCTATCAAATCACATATTTCTATTCTTGTTCAGTTCCAACAACGCCGCAGCTCCACATCATCTTCATCCTATTTACACTGTTGCTTTGAGGGCAGAGTCGTAATTAGACATGAGAAAATGGGCAGAAGCTTTAACACCTCAAATATCACTTGTCCATTTTTATGGCCCTTTTAAATGTGGGAAAACAAATAAATTTTCCCTATAGATGATGTCTGACATTGAGTCTAATAGACATTTAAAAGACAGATACATCCTCTCATGTGCCTTCTAACAATACAGCTTGAAATGTCACAGCTCCTACCTCCTGGAGTCACCAAGCCCTTGAAGACACAGATATTCTCCCCTCCACTGACTTGCTGGAGGATCTTCAGTTCATCCTGCGTTGACCCCAACCCTGACCGCCAATGACCTTGTCCCAGGTAGGTCATTGTCACAGTGACATTGGATTTCTTTGCTTCTCTTTGTGCCTTTAGGTTACTCTGCTATGAAGAGCCAGAAGGTGGAAAGAGCAACAAGGGCTGAATTTATAAAAATGCTTTAACTTATATGCACTAGAAATTAAGCAGATTGGTGATTACCTGATTTTTAGTGTGACCCGCTGTTCTCTGCGAGGCAACTGAGGAGAACGAACCCCTTCGCTTGTCATACAAATAAGGACAGGACTGCCTCAGAGCATCTTTGATTGAGTTTAGACTTGAAGCCCTGGAGATGATGGCTGGGAGGTAATTGTCTCTACCAACCCTGGTCGAACCAGTTGTTGGCTCATCCAGCTATATTTAAGGGGTGAAACTTAAAATTCATCACATTCAACTCAAAGATTTCAGGGCCATTTTAACTGCTCAAAACTAAAACTTATCTTTGTTCTAGATGCTTGATACTGAACAACTCCAACTTTAGTTAAGTATGTCTCAGCTAAGTAACATTAATCTTACTATGAATTTGAAATATGTTTCAAAAATCCACCACAGAAAATGATATGCATCACTTCTCTTTCTTTTCTCAGGAGCTGTAAAACATGGGTCAAACACTATGGATCATATGAGATTATATGTTTATCCTTTATATCTGTACTTATAAAAAATAAAGAGAGAAAACTTCTCTGTGGTCTAACTGACCCTAAACATGAGTATCATCCATTTATAACATAGCACATTATAATTTTGCTGCTTACTGTAGACCTGTGTAGCCTTGTCCATAGAAAATGTAAAGCATGAAATATTGCTCTGTGGTAAATTCTATATATTTTTGCCCACTATCAAATGTCTAAGACTAGAATTGGTACTAAATATTGCAGCTACAATCAACCTGAGAGGCAGGTCTGTTTTAAGGCATAAAAGGTTTGGATGTTCAAAGCAGTGTCTGTTGGAGAATTAGTTTCTCCATCCAAAACTTGTGTATGCAACCTTTTCCATCTCATTTTAAGAAATATGCTATTATTGTTTCTTAGTCTTAAATACTGAATACAAAACATGGCAGGAAAAACTATATTTATTTTGAAATTCCACAAAATTGGATTTTAGTTCATGTATTTTGAGTCCCACATGTAAAAAGAATATGGATGAAAGACACAATTTAATCTGCAGCACTGGAGAAGATAACAAAAAAGAAAGAAAACAACAGTAAAGCACCACACAGAATCACTGCTGACCTTGTAGATCTCCACAGTATCAGGATTCTCTAGGAGGAGGAGTTTGCTATCCGCTCTGATTAGACTGGCAATGGAGCGGATCATTTTAGCATCTCTACCAGGCTGAGCTGGGATCTGGTAAACAAATCAGTCAGAAATGTGTATACAGGTAATAATATTCACAGTAATGTTCATCTTAAATGACAGCTGTTAAATGCTTGTAAAAATCATAAATAAAGTAGTGATGCTGACAGTCAGACATGAATCAGCAACATGCTAAATAGATACTTACAGGAGTGTCTCTGCCTCCTCCATGGACTCCCCTGTAAAAGTGACCTTGAGGGAAAGTCTTGCTGTTTCTCCCAGTTCTTCTCATTGAGTCTTTCTGATATGACTCCATTCTGAATGGACTTATTACCCTAGCACAGACAGAATGATTAGAGGAGGATGTGGACTGTAATTCACTCTGTTGACAATGATATAAAGTCTTGAGGTAAAAGTCTACAGGTGAAAATGGACTGAGACATCTCACTGGAGCTGTAGGTGACTGTGGTTCTGTAGCTCAGTAAGTAAAGTTGTGTGTTCAGTTCACACTGGTTCCTCAAATGCTTAAAAAAACATCCACACAAAGGAATTAAAAGCACACTGATCTTTGGTTTTTCCACTGCATGCTAACAAGACTCCATTGTTTTCTGCTCAGCCTGGCAGTAAATTACAGCACATGTAACTTAATCGCTGCATCCGCAGCCATGTCATCTGCTGGGCTGATTGTGTCTGGGAGAGGAGGCAGCAGGCAGGCATCTATGGCCTCAGATTAGGAACCTATATGAGTGTGGCCTCAGCCTCAGATGGTACAGTAAATAGCAGGAAAAGTAAGACTTGTGCTTTAAGAAGTGTATGCTTCTTTTTCAGTCCAGATTACTATTTGAAGGTTGTTATAACTCTCTAAACATTTACTGCAGTTGCTGTATCTGTTTTTATGTCTTTGTCCTTGACTGTAAAGAGAACAAACATTTAAAATGTCTATAAAATAAATAAATAAAAATCAGTATTAACAAGAGCACAGAATGGGGGCAGCAAAATGAGACATCATTTGTAATGGTTGTATGTGTCTGGCCTTGTGAGGTGTTGTGCTGTAATATTCTCTCTTCAGTTATGATACTTGCTAATCTCAGATAACTCAGTTATCCTTTATGGCATGTGGTCAAAGGAAAAAATGAGCCACTTTCTCACAGTGGTGTAGGAATTATTTAGATTCCTTGCCTAATAAAATTTGTTAGGCAGCTGTGATTCAGGAGGCAGAATGGTTATCTCCCAGCTGGAAGGTCAGCGGGTCAACTCCCATTGTCCCCAGTCCACATGTCAAAGTGTCCTTGGGCAAGACACTGAACCCCAAGTTGCTCCTGAGCAGCACCCTGCAGGGACAGTGTCACCATCGGTGTGTGTGTTTGTGTGAGTTGGTGCCGTAGATTCTGTACTGGGAACAAATTCCATGTATGTGTAACATACTTGGCCAACAAAGGTGGACAAATTCCATGTGTGTGTAACAACAAAGGTGATTATCATCATTAACTCAGATGTCTGTTGTAGTGGAGTAAAAGTATTCTATATTATTCTGGAATTAAGTTGGAGTAGGAGCACAATGGAGCAGAAAATGGAATAAAGATGTAAAGCACAAGCAAAGTACACATTTCGCAAAATTTAAGCACAGTTCTTGAGTAATGTAGGCTACTCAATCACTTTCGTGTCATTTTAGTGATCCCCAGTGATCATTTTAAATGTTATTTTAACTACTACTACTAGTTTTTTAATTTTCACAAATTTTCCATCAAAGTCACACTGCACAGAGTTCTTACCTGTCGTCTTGTCCAGGTGCGGAGCTGAATATGTCACTGACATCTGAGCAGCTGATACCTCAGGTACCGCACCCGTCGCCTGACTCTGGTTCCTCATCTATCTTTAATGGTTATGACCTTCGCTCTGTGCACGTTGTTTGCTTTTGTTTATGAGGCTTCTCCTGTGACTTTTAAGAGACATCTTTTCCATGCAATGTTTTGGAGTTTATCCATCAGTTGACTGATGATCAGAATCATTATTTGATGTAGCAGTGTCTTCATTTTGTACTTAAATAGGATTGAACCCCCCTAACCACAGTCTTCTTTAGTTTAAAGACGGATTCAGACCCTCAAAATTTTAATTAAACTGTGGAATCATTATTGAACTGCTAAGTTCTGGAAAACATTAGTATAGTATGTGGACTCTGAGTTGGGATTCAAACTACTATTTTCCAGGTAAACTATGAACTTTATGTTATAAAGGCTGTTATCCTACTGTCAGGAAATCCCCCAGTACCTAAACACCCCCGTTTATTAGCGGTGATGTCACTGACTGGCTAATTATCTGATACTTCAAAGATAAAACAGCAGTCATGTGTAATCATTTGCGTTATATGAACATCGAAACAGGGTTTTGCAATGCCGTAAAAGAAAAAAGTAAAACAAAGATATTCTGGCACACAAGAAACCAGAAAATTACCAAAAAAGTACAGATATATTTGTAATATTATTGACATTTATTGTAGTTTCACAAAAGTCTGTTCTTCATTTAACATGAAAAACGTAATGGCAGCTGTTTTAGCCTTTTTGTACCAAGTACAATACAGTACGTATTTGTAAAATTATTATGAAATTGTTACTACTTTTACTTTAAGTCTTTTTTTTTAATGAAAAATACAGAGAAACTCTGTAAAATAAACAGAAAAATTAAAACGTTTTTCTTTTTAACAGACTGTTATCATTCCTCGTGTCCATACTGGCCATGAAAAGCATTTCCAGTGAGTGATTTGAGAAAACAACTTAAAGTTTACTTAAAGTTTAAGTGTGTGAACAGACGTTACCAGTCTGACTCAATCTATCAAAGTGGGCATCTTCCAGACTTATAGTCCTTTTATTGAGAAATTCCCTCTTTTAGTCGTGACACACAATGTTTCTGTGTTGAGCTGCAGTGGAGTAACAGCAGCGCAAAGAGGGGATGTGGTCCTGAAAACCTCAGGAAGATAGCCACTTTCACCCCGACCGCTGACGCCTCACTTAGCACAGAACAAGGACTGTGGATTTTGTTCCCCATCACTTCCACTGGAAGCACACTGAGAAGGGATCTTTTAACTGCCAGTATGCACAGCACTGCAGCCAGCAAAACCTGTTTTAATGTTCAGATGGACACCAAACTGTTAGTTTAAGACAGACTTAAAAAATGATAAACCTATTTTTAATGACGAGACAGTACTGTCCAAATACAGTACCTTTGTAAATATATTGAACCTAACGTGACACTAAATATTGGTGTACTGTAGTGCCATGGAAATTTTAACTGTGCACAGCTGGTTGCCAAACATACTGAAGACATATAAAGGTACCTCAGTCATTGAGGGGAGAAATTAAACTGGACATGTAATCACCATGTCTCCACTAGCGGTTAGAAAACATAAAACGGTTTAAGTCTCGGAACATTTTAACCTATAAACAGAGACCGTCAACATGAACTGTTACTCAGAGACGGAACAGGCGTCTCCGACTGTAGTGTTAGCATCTGTATGAGCTGTACCCTGTCCATGCCTCAGCTCTCTCAAACAGCTTGACCTGCTGAGGACACACTGGCTTCATGCACTTTCTTATGTGCCACAGCACATCCAAACAGGACCCCGTCTGCCTGCTGGATCCATTATGTCCATAAACTGATAGGGGGGTCTGAGTGTTTCTGGCTTGAAAGTCCAGGATTTGCCTTGTGCCATGTTCAGTAAACAGGACCCCGTCTGCCTCCAGGATTTGCCTTGTGCCATGTTCAGTGCAGCAATGTATGAGTTAATTATGGGCTTGCCAGTCACCGTACACCTCTACCTTCCAGGGAGCGCCCATGGTGTGACACATTATATGAGCAGTGCTTTGCAAGAGGGATGATTTCTCATTGTTGAGCTTTGTAAAAGTCCTTAATGATCAATGTGGAGATATAAGTCACAGCAGTGAATATCTGGAAATGCAGCCAAACTGATTGTTGACGCTGGAGTTTACAAGGTACAGTAACTGATTGTTGACGCTGGAGTTTACAAGCTGTGTTAAAGCCATGTAAATCACAGCTTGTGTAATATCCTGCTCTCAGGGGACAGTTTAGATTACACACCATTCATCCTGATTTTCACTGTGAGAACCAAAGAAACAGAATATATTCCAGTTCCTCTTGGTCTTCCAATTCTATAATTAGCTATCGATATCTAGCAGCAGTGGCCTAAAGCACTGAGTCTCAGTTTTTAACATGGTCACATGACCTGGAGTACCCCTCTACTCTGCTCTACCCCTTCAATAGGTGACAGTTGTGGCAATCTATTTAGGATCAGCCTCACACCAATTTCTAATCCTTTTTGGATGCTGTTTGTATGATTTTCCTCCTAAACACAAAATGTGAATACACAGTGTATTCTTTATCTTTTTAAAATCATTGTTTCTACCTTTTCCATTTAGCTGAGTTATCTCACAATCTTTCCAGGTACCCCTGGTACTGTAGCTGCAAAAGTCAACACCCCTGAAAAAGAATTACTGGCCTAAATGTTCTAAAACACGACTGTGACCAGAAGGTTGATGGCTCATTCAGTGGACCAGCAGGATAAAACTGGCTGGGTAAAGTGAAAGAGTAGTATTCCCCTTGCTTCATTACCACCAGTGAGGTGCCCTTCAGCCAGACCATTAACCCCAGCAGAGTGAGTGGAGCTGCTCCAGTAGTTTCACTGGGCAGCTTCCACTTTGTCAGTGTGAACAGAACTTTCCTCACTTTCCTGCTCTTAGTGAAAATACTGTACCCAGATTTAATAGTAAAAGAAAAATACAGTGGAAAAGTCTGACACTACACTGCACAATAACCCTCTCCAGTGAAGAACAGTATGGGTTATTAATCACGTTTAATTGGCTATTCAGTGATTGTTTATGGAGCAACTTCAGGTCATTCATCTTGATGTGTTGCATTCATACTTTTGGCTCCCTCATTCTTTAGTCTCTTGTGCCATGTGGACACGCAATTCATTTTCCAAAAGTGAATTTCTATGTGCTATTATATCGCATCAGTTAAAGGACTGGACAGACGTTCCTGGTGAATTGAATGGGAAAATGTGCCCAAACATTTGACCGATAGGGTCTATGATGGAAATATCAACATAACCCCGCCGCGCCTCGCTATGATCAACAATCATTAGGTGCCATGTCTTCTCTCTCAACCTGTCATGTCAGTGTTTCACCACTTGAGGGTGCAAGAAGACCAATCAGGCCTTCACATCATGCATCTCTTGTCATATTACTTCACCGCACATGGGGTAACAGGCAGGCAGCTTTCTAGAAACTCTCCTAATGGCCATTT